CTCGATAATGTCATGATGTCTCACGAGTTCAGTATTTGCGCTAAACCTGCGCAGATTTGGCTTGCATGAACTTCCCAAAGAAATTAATGAGTGAACATAACTTACAAAAAGTAACCCACCAAACTGGCTAGTGATTTGACCGCGTTACCCACCACAGCTGATTTTTACCCACATTTGGCGGGTTGGCGGGTGTTAATTTGAAACCCTGTTTGTAATGTATATTATGTGTCTATTTGAGACATTTTAATGGACTGATAAAGGTAGCTGTAAAGTATTATTGTTGAAGTACAATGTCGTTTTGACCATAATAATGTACCAAATCTAACTCTTTTAAATATTACAGTTAGTATAGAAAAATACTATACATACATTTATAGGTGAAGTCAAACTCTGTGACGTCAAACTTCCCTGTGCAAAGGATCATGGGGGCCTGAAGTGTCCATCAGTTGTACCCTTCGAAATCCTTCATTCCGAAAGGCCCTTTGAAGTGGCCAGTTTTGAGCACTTCGGTTTGGAACGACCCTTCAATAATGCGGCCATGATTGTTTTCACTCTGAAGTGCCCTTCGGAGGGTGATATATCCCGTTTGGAACGCACCGACAGTTGAAGCAAATGTGCCGAATTGTGTCAAGGCTTCGAAACAATCAGACACCTGTCTCCACTGTGACACATAGTGGTCACTTGCACATGTTGCTCTGCCTTGACAACGATTTACAAATGATAACCTACGTTGTTTAGGCTTATGTCAAACAATAAAGTGTGTCCACATCATTGTAAGAGCAATTATGTTTTTTTATAGTTGTATTTTTTAATTGATTTGATTTTTTTTATATATAATGTGTTGAGTTTTTAACATGTGTCTACATGAGCTTGGTTTTGTAACCTTTAAGCTCCTCTTTGTGAATAATTATGATTATTTTGGTCATGAGAAGTGAACATTAATAAAAGAAATCAAGCCACAGTCTGTCACATTTGTTACATTGTAAGATTTTTATTTTGCCGCCTGTCGGTCGAAACGCTTGTGAACCGCACCAAAGCTTAATTTAGCCATTGTCACGTGACATGGGTGTTTTGAATCACACTTCGGAGCAGTGTTTCGAAACATCTATGCTTCGGGATCTCGACACTGCGTCGAAACGTCAGTTTAGCGTCAGCCATCCCTATATAAATCTTGGAAGAGCCAGGACAATTTTCAATATAACTCCGATTGGATTCATCTGAAAGAAAGTCATACACCTAGGATGTCTTGAGGGTGAGTAAATCATGGGCTAATTTTCATTTGTGGGTGAACTATCCCCTTAAATACAAAGTTCTGTCATTAAACTCTATGTCGCAGGCCAATAGGTTCTAACTCAGGCCCTGTCCACACGAACGCGGTTATTTTTAAAACCGCAGCTTTTTCTACGCAGTTTGGCCGTTCGTCCACACGCAAACGCAGCACCAGGTCACTGAAACTGAACATTTTTGAAAACGCCTGCCAGGGTGAAGAATTTCAAAAACTCTGGTTGCAGTGTTGTCGTATAGACAGCGAAACCGTAGTTTTTGGCTTGTGACGTCGGAGCCTGCGCTGTTATCTTCGCCTACTGGAAACTTTTTCAGGCTTCTGATTGGCCAACATGGCTTTACGGTTGAGATTATATCGCCACCTGTTGGTTTGGCATGCTCTTGACAGTGCTTCATAGCATGCGTTTGCGTTTTCATGTGGACGGAGATTTTTTTTTAAACGGATTTTTATAAAAATACTTGTGTACGTGTGGACATGGCCTCAATCTGATAAAAAATAACATCATTATTCACATGGCGCAGCTGATTGGTTTCTTTTCACATCAGCAGCCAATGAGCTAGCTGCTCAACATTCAAATACTTGGCTAGTGCTTGCTTTAGCAGTTGCAGCGCGCTTCAGAAACCCTCCACCTCCGGGGTGATTTCATGCATGTTATAAATGATGGTTATTGCATATGTTATTTGTGCAGCGGCAGCATTTCTTATGTATGTTTACCTGCATTGTTTTTTCTGACTTTATTTATTCTCATGTTCCCAAATGAGTTTATTTTTTACTACTTAAGTGAATAAATAAAACAATAAAATATTGAAACAATATTTTTGTTTATCTTGCTTTATTATAAATTCAGATTAAGACTTAAACAGTCACATAAACATGTTATAACATGCCTTATGCTTTATACATTGTACGCTCGCCGATACAATGTGTTCATGAAGCAAGACCACATAATCGTACCAAGTGTGTAAATTTAATGTAAAATAAAAAAAAAAAACGCTTTTAAACCAAAGTGCATTTACACAAGTTGAGAAAAACAAAAAGATTAAATAAATTGTAAGTTTAGAAAAGCTTCTTTACTCCCATCAGTACTAATAGTATCATACTGTTCCTGGAATATCAAATTTAATTAAGCATGACAAGAAATTTAAAGTTTAGTAACAACGTGAAATGTAAAATATACCAGTTAGCAGGTAAACACTTTGCAAAATAATATTTGCAAAATTAGTAGAACATTAAAGAAAGCAGCATGGTTTCCACTGTTAAACAATGCACAACTCAGGTCACTTTTTCCAGTGCTGTTCAACACAAACACAGTTTCACACCAAAGATCAGGCTGATCTGTCCTGTTTTTGACAGTGGTGACTTTAAAATTCTCATATGGAGGAATCAGCACCTCTTTCTCATCGGGATACTTAGAGTATTTTGTCAGATTAGCACCTTCACAAGTGTAGATTTCAAAACAAGATTTATTTCCAAAACCCTGTATCACTGTTCGATCAAGAGAGGAGGATGAAAATGAGCTCAAACGAACCTCTTTGCTCTTAACATCAAATTTAACATTTGTACCACGATAAGTTACATAGCATCTATTTTGTGTTTTCTTCAGAATCTGTATCGCTTCTGTTAACAGAAAGTGAAGTGAATACCATGTGAATGTCCCCTCTCTGTATTTCTGTTTGTCAGTGCGAGTGGCACTAGTGAAATTATTATATACTGTAGAGTCTTTGTTAGTGTAAACATGAATAGCGACTGAATGAATCTGCTGCAAGTTATCCTCTGCTTTATTTGCATTCTCTTCACCTTCTTGCCAAGTCTTATTAAATTCAGCTGAGCCAGATCTTTCCTTCTCTAGCAATGTCTTCACCAGATTCGCCATTTTCATAGTACAACCGTCATATTGGTCATCGACAGAATTTGGTGCCATATCCAATGGAAATATCTGTCCTTCAACAGTTGTTCTGTGATCCTGCAGCAACAGGAATCATAATGATCAACCATCAGTATTCATGTATGTAATATTCATACTAGAACACAAGCTTACCTGTCCTAGAGCAGCTAAAATGAGAAGAAGAGCTTCAATGAGCAGCGGTATCTTGATTGTCAAATCTCCAGATCTAGTAGATCTAGTGAAGCACAGATTCTGAAAGTCAAACAAAGCAGGGTTTAACAAATGCTATATCTATTTAAATGGAAACCAATATTTACATAGATGTTTACAATAAAACGGTTATATTGTCCTTTTAATTTAAACCCAAACGTACCTAAAAAAATACGTTTCTCTTTTGTTGTCAGATTGTGAGTTTTCTTTTTGTTATTTTTCAGGTGCTCAGGAGCAACAGCCGAGAGGAGAAGATCAGAAAAGTCAGTCGCTCACAGTCAGACGACAATGACTCTTCAAACCAGGAGATGAGGCTTTTGTATATCGCAGATCATCCGTGTCCATGTGTTCTGTGTGGGTCTGTGAGTGAGATAAATGATGCATCACAGTACATTGTTCATCCAGATGACTATTTGGAGAGTCAGTTGGAACAACATTTGAACAGGTATTTCAACAAAATAGTCTTTGTTGGCATAAATTCCTACTACAACAAACACTGTTCAAGCAAATTCTTAACATTAGTTAGGAGAACATTTTGCAAGTTTGATATTTTACAGTTTTGACTTAAGGATGTGTAAACTTAAAATTGAACCAATTTAATGCAAATGAAATTTATAAAACCTGCCTAGCAAATAGATAGATAGCAAGATTGCAAACCCCTATGAAATTGTGAAATAGCATTTATTTTGTGTTTTCTTCTGAATCTGTATCACTTCTGTAAAAAAAAACCGAGGTGAATTCCATCAGTATACCATTTTTTAATGTTGGTTGAAATCATTATGGACTTTAGGGCTCCATGTCAATACATCAAAAATCTGACGTCACTTCTTTTGAAGTCCACACACCATTTATTCATTGTGTCACATGGGAATGGTTGACTATCACAAAAGATGTTTTTGGCTTTTGTCTGAAAAACATTTCACCCGAATTTGGGTTTATCTGTTGAAAGCTCTAGGACAAGTCTGAGCAAGTATGTTTTCAACAATGTTTAATAGTGTTTTCTAGACCATTTATTCCATACATTTCTAACACTGAAGTGATATTTTTACTTTTGGTGGTGCTATAGGGTTTGAGAGAGTGACAACAAATTTGGTCAGATGATTTTTCTGTGCCTGTCCTATAACTGTGCAAAATTTACTAACATTTTACTATGCTTTTCTGCCTGTCTATGGCAAAGGGAATAAAAAAAATAAGAAAACTAATAGATTCAATAGATGCCAATGCAAGGTTGCTTTCCACATTTTCTGCCGGAACCAGACACATGCAGATCTTCAGGTGGAAACACACTCCAACTTTAAAATGCATCTGTATCTGTTTGTCTAACATGAATAAATGGCATTAAAAATTATGAATGCACCTGTATCACAACACACCCAGTCATGTAGTTGTGCTTGTTTGGTTTGTTCGTCATAATCCTGAAACATTGGGTCCTCGTATTCAAACTCTTTTCCATGAACATAGCTGAGATGATGGTGGAGACTGTCATTTACTGGCTGGTTTGTATCAAATGGATTTCCTGCAGGAATTATGAAAATACTTAGAAGATCCAAAGTATTTAATTTGAGAAATTTTAGTAAATCACACAAGAAGTCTTGAAACCTTGAAACTTCTCAAATGCTTCCCACAGATAGCGTTTCAGACACTTTTGTCTCTTCGCTCAGTTGTTTGCGCATTACAAACAAGTCCACTTCACAGTACTAGCATCTCATGAAATATACTATAAGTGTCTTCTTGTCCTCTGAGTTGTGTGAGTCTTCATTTACCTGCATTGTTTTTGCTGACTTTGTGTTGTTTGTTCATCCTCATGTGCCCAATTTCTTACTACTGAAGTGAATCAATTGCTTTTGACACCATATTTTAGTAAATCTTGTGTTTTTTATTATTATATCACCTGTCACATGGACATGTTGTAACATGACTGTCACTTTACAGTGTACCCTCTTTAGAGAGCAACCAACCGTTTTTTCAGTTTTTCAGAAATGTATTTAGAGGCACGTATTTTGAATGAGCCTATGTTGGTTGTAACATTTCACTAAAAATATACAATGAGTTCATGAAACAAGACCACGTAATTGTACCAGATGAGTAAAGTAAAACTAAGAAGAAGAAGAAAACAGATAAATAAATAAAATTAAAAAGGTTAACAATCAGAAACAAATCTATATAGCATCTATTTTGTGTTTTCTTCAGAATCTGTATCGCTTCTGTTAACAGAAAGTGAAGTGAATACCATGTGAATGTCCCCTCTCTGTATTTCTGTTTGTCAGTGCGAGTGGCACTAGTGAAATTACTATATACTGTAGAGTCTTTGTAAGTGTAAACATGAATAGCAACTGAATGAATCTGCTGCAAGTTATCCTCTGCTTTCTTTGCATTCTTCTTGCCAAGTCTTGATAAATTCAGCTGATCCAGATCTTTCATTCTCTATAGTATTTCTCCACCTTGGCTGCCATTTCATTTGTACATCCCTCATATTGGTCATCAGCAGAATTTGGTATATCTAATGGAAATATCTTTTCAACAGCAGCAGCTGCTCTGTGATCCTGCAGCAACAGGAATCATAATGATCAATCATCAGTAATCATGCCTGTAATATTCATACTAGAACACAAGCTTACCTGTCCTAGAGCAGCTAAAATGAGAAGAAGAGCAGCATCTTGATTCAATTGAATCCCTCAGATGCTCTAGTAGATCTAGTGAAGCACAGATGCTGAAAGACAACCAGAGACACAATAGGGTTTAGCAAGTACAAAATATTTCACAATAGGAACATGTACATACATACCAACATATATAAGTTTTAAAATCATATTCATTCTAGTATCAGAACTGTTCGAAATAATCACTTATATAGTGTTTTTTTAGTTTAACCCCAAACTTACCTGAGAATACTGTTCTCTCTTGTTGTCAGATTATGTTTTTCTTTTTGTTATTTTTCAGGAGCTCAGAAGCAACGAGAGGAGAAGATCAGAAAAGTCAGTCACTCACAGCCAGACATCAATTCAAACTAAGAGATGAGGAAAGTGGCTTTTGTATATCACAAATGTCATCTTGACGCATGTAGTGCATTTGTTTAGCTTACCTTGGCCCAACTCCAAGAACCCTCTTAAATTCAGAAAACCCGCCTGGATATTTAGAAAGAATGCAATCCTTTATGAAATTGTTCAGGAATGTGATGTAAAGATTCTGATGTGATGTGACAGAACCAAAACAAACCGCTTTGTTCAGAACAAAAGTGGTTAAAAGTGGCTTCTAGACCATTTATTACAAACTTCACTAGCTAAAACTGAAGTGGAATTTGAATTTTTGGTGGCGCTATAGGTTTGGAGAAACTGACACCAAATTTGGTCAGATGATTTTTCAGAAACTGCCCTAAAACTGTGCCAAATTTAATAACATTTTACCATATAGTGCTGCCTGTTAATAGCAAAGGGATCAGAAGAATAGTAAGAAAACGTATAGATAATAGATGCCAATGCAACTTTGATGCTTGGCCTCTAATACTGCTCTTTAAAAAGGCAAGATCATACATCAAGAATCATACATTTGTGTAATAGGTGGAGACACACCAACTATAAAATGCATCTCTATCTGTTTCTCTGAAGTGACAAAATGGCATTAAAAAGTATGAATGTACCTGTATCACAACCCAGTCATGCAGTTGTGCTTGTTTACCTTGTTTACCATAATCCTAAAACTTGGGGTCCTTATATTCAACCCATTTTCCATAAACAATAGGTGAAATGGTGGACAAAATGCCATTCACAGTTGTCAAATCCTGGCATTTGTACATGCAAAATTAATTTTATAAATAATTTACTTTCATTCTACTTTTAAAGGATAAGATTACAAAAAAATTAAATATAATTAAAATTGTATCTTGTGTAGTATGTTAGAGATAAATTATCCATATCAAGGTTTTCCTCACAGGATAATGATTTTCCATAATTTTTCCAGTTGGTCACATTTATGTTCCCACCATAACATGCAGTCACAAAATGTTTTGTTATCAAAGAGAATTATGAGAGAAAATAAGGTGCTTTGAGAGATTTATTTGGTTAACAGAAGCTGAATGTGAATCTGATAAAAAAAAAAAAGCTTAAGCACTCTAATTTGTCTGTACAATCCAACAAATGCTGTAATTCAATATAACAAGACAATCAATGTTCAATAACAACAAAAAACATGTAGTACCTACAGGTTAAATGGTTAGTACTTAAACACATAACAAAATAATGTTAAAATTACTATTAAAATTATTTTATTTTTTATTTTTTGTCCTGAACCGATGTACATTTGTAAATTCAAATAACTTTGGTCTGTGCATATCAGAGTACTTTGATGTACTTTATGGTCTTGGATGGTTTCTTGAATAGAGCACAGTTCAGGTCACTTTTTATTCCAATGCTGTTCAACTCAAACACAGTCTGACACTTGAGATTTTTCTGATCTGTTTTTGTCTTGACAGCAGTGACATTAAACGTCTCATAAGGAGGAATCAGCACCTCTTCCTCATAAGGAAGCCTAGAATATTTTTTAATATTAGCACCTTCACAAGTGCGAATTTCAAAACAAGAAACATTTCCAAAACTGTGTGCCCTGCCAGGATAAACAGAGGAGGATGTAAATGAGCCAAAACGAATGCCTATAAAATCATGCTCATTAAATTTAACATTTGTACCACGATAAGTTAAATAGCATTTATTTTGTTGTTTCTTCAGAATCTGTATCGCATCTGTTAACAGAAAGTAACGTGAATACCATTTGTATGTCATGACTGTGTAGTTTTTTTTGCCATTACGAGTGTCATTGTTGAATTGAACATATATTTTAGAATTTGGGTCAGTGTACACCCAGATAGCAATTTTATGTTCTTTTTTTAATTTGCTGAAAATATTCCAGTTATGGGTAACATTCTTTTCAGCATGTTTCCAAGCATTTCTAAAATCAGTTGAGTTATTGAGTTCCTTCTTCAGATAGTTAGTCCACACATGATTTGACATGTTCTCTCTACAGCCCTTATATTGGTCATCAACTGAATTCGGTGCCATATCCAATGGATATATCTTTCTTGCAGCAGCAGCTCTGTGATCCTGCAGCAACAGGAATCATAATGATCAATCATCAGTATTAATGTCTGTAATATTCATACTAGAACACAAGCTTACCTGTCCTAGAGCAGCTAAAATGAGCAGAAGAGCTTCAATGATCAGCAGCATCTTGATTCAGTCGAATCCCTCAGATGATCTATTAAGAAATAGTGAAGCGCAGATGCTGAAAGACAAGAAACACAAAATTGTCTCACAGGTCAAATCCCTCAGATGATCTAGTAGATCTAGTGAAGAACAGCTGCTGAAAGACAACCAGAGACACAGGGCTTAACAAATACTTCATATGTATATCACTTCAGTAAGAACATGCACATAGATTTGCCCAATGACCTTGATCAATGATATTTTACCCCCAAACTTACCTTAAAAGATTCTGAGTTTTCTTTTTGCTGTTTTTCAGGAGCTCAAGAGCAACGAAGAGAACATCCGAAAAGTCAGTCGCTCACAGCCAGACAACAACGACTCTTCAAACAAACAGATGTCGAGGCTGAAGTTGCTTTTTATATTGCTAATAATGTGTGTGTGTTTTCTGAAATATAACAGCTGAAGTGTGATCTTGTTGCATTCAGCTCAGCTAAACTGTTGAGCTCGTCTAGTGCAACACTTGTGAAGGTCTGCGTGTGGTTTCACACTGGACTAACAAAGGCTAAAAAAAAAACATTACACTTCAAGCAATTCTGACTCTATGAAAGTTACAGCTGGAAGACATTATCAGAATTAAACAAAATAAATACAAATTACATTATTCCCAGTCCCAGCCTCCATCTCTTCTGCCCTGTCAATTCCTGTATCATCTCTACTGTCTCCATCTCAAAAAAAGGCCTTACAAATAATATTTACAAATTTTGTATAAGACTATGAATGTCCTGCAAAACATGTGGAAACACTTAAAACAGAAGTTATCAACCAGTGCTGGCAATTTAGCAACTTTGTGAATAAATAGTGACTTTTATTCCTTTTAAAATGATTAGCAATAAATCAAGTGACTTTTTGGATTGCTAGTTAAGGTCAGTCACTATATATCATACTCGTTTCGTTGTCTGACAGAAAATATGTAAATAACAACAGCTTTATTTGACATTCACTTATATATTATTAAAATACAGTGCATGACATCATCTAGCAACATTTAATGACTTTTTGAGCAGTCTTTAGATACTTTGCATAGTTCACTGAGTCGTTGTTTCCCAAAATTATAGTTCCAATGAACATTTGCACATAGCTTCACAAAATTCTGTGGTTGGAACGACACCTCTTGACCTGTGGTTAGAAGAGTCTTGTTTGCATGACATGTGGACTTTATAAATCCTTACCTTGAGCAAAATAAGCAAGCTGACATTCAGTACAATCTATACACTGTAAAAAAAATTCCGTCAAATTTACGGTAAAAAACCGGCAGCTGTGGTTGCTGGAATTTTACCATAAAAAATACGGTAGCAACGTTTTAGGTTTTACGGTTTTAACTTAAATTTACAGTTAACTACCATCATTTCATTAACTGATATAATGTTAATATACCAACCTTATTGAAGTACTGAAATCTGTTTTGTACCTTTGTAATACACTGATAACCACCAAATGCAGGCGGTGATGAGAAAGTCACATGATGAACCAAAGCCCATCACAAGCAGTTCTTAAATAATAACATATATAGAAGGTGCACAGTGTCAGTCACATGAACACTAAACACCATAA